TAAAGCAGAGTTACAGCAAACCCCTACCGCCCACCATGAAAAGTGGAAAGCCCACTAGTGGGTGGTAGGGACCAGGTTGACTACCACTGCTCTAGGCAAAAGTCTTTTCTTAAATGGGGGGGGGAGTACTGACTGTTTATTAATCATTAAGGTCAAGGGAGTGGCTGACATTCATATTTCTCTGATTAGAGTACTGGAATGCTGTTAGGTCTTGTTATCAGCGACGTACAGATGTGAGAGGCTGGCTTTCATTTTCATCTGCTTAGCTGGCATATAAAGATTACTTGGAACTGGATTTAGATTTCTTCATTGCTGGAAACTTTAGTCACCTAATTTTTGCACAAAACGTTGCTGGCCTGCAAAGTTTCTGATCAAGTCAGATATTTTTTTACAATTGAAATATAATTGCCATCATTTATTGCTCCTTTTATTATTGGTACTATGTTGATTAATAAATGTCTACATTAAACCAGGGAAATTGCCTTAAAATAGTGGGATTGATCTTTGACATGAGATCTTTGATATCAGCTTTGATATCAGCTCAGGAAGGAACTATGGCCCTTTTATGACTTGTGGACTTCAACTCCAAAAATTCTGGGAGTTGAAGTCCACAAGTCATGTTGAGTGCAAAATGCATAAGAGGTCACAACTCTTGCATTGTGATGTCACAACTTATTGTGACATTTTCATGCCATAACAGTTTGTATGAGTTACTACAGTGAATCCCTTCCATGGGCTATTTCACTGCTATTCTGACTCTTAGGAATTGGGGTGAAATTCTAATAATAATTATTATGAAAGGGTTAATATTTTCCACATTATTGAAAACTGATTATATAATTATTAATCACCACTAATGGTAATTCTATGTGTTGTTGCAATCATGTAAAATAATATGATGAAATCTATAAAAATCCAAAATAATTCAGTATAATATAAAAAATCAACTATAATTGAAAAAGGTAAGAGTCAAAAGAATCAAGCAATACATATAGGCACTAAAACTGCTAAACTATCAAAAGTATTAAAATAATCATCTTTAAAAAACACTGGTGGTGCCAAGAAATAAATAAGTTGATTGTCAGAATGAAAACTGAACTTTAGCAGGTTTCTCTGGAGAAGGCCTTCCATTATCAATGTAGAAACCTTTCCTCAGAGAGCCCCTTCAAACCTCAAAATCACTTTTCTTAAAAGTTTAGAAAGGAATCATAAAAAGTAAAGAACTAGAAATATACTGGGTTTCCAAATAGTGTACAGCTCTCTACTTCTGTGGATGGAAAGCCCATATTTCAAATGTTTCAAAGAGAGCTGGAAGCTAGTGTGAGAAAGGACCGGCATAACTTATGTAAAGTGTCTGATGCCAATTCAAAACTCTTTTGACTATCTTTTTCACCAGCAAAAGATTTGTTTCATCTTAAAGACAGACTACTATCCAAATAACAATGGTTTCAGGCATGGCATTCAACTTCGATAAGGTTTATTACCCTAATCCAGAAATAATGCAAGTTGCAGCAAGAGCTTCTGATATTGTTTAATTAAAGATCTAAATCCACATTTAGGTTTCTCAGAGGGGAATATAAATACAGTCTGGACAGAGGTATGGAAGCATGGACTTTATTCTTGCTCTCTCTCTCTATCCCTGCCTTCATGTTTTGCCTTGACATTAGTCATGACTTAGACAAGGTAACAACAATTAAAGAGAGACGGAACACTAGCAGGTGTCTCCAATGGCTGACAATTGACTCTGGGACTAGAACCTATGGAGTTAAGAATATTTTCTTCTCTGCTTCTTCAAAATTCTGTGGAAAGGAACTTTTGAATCTGATGTTCATAGGGATTGGCAAAGTTTGATTCAAAATAAATTCCATTGAGGATGGTTAGGCTCTTAGATGTACCTAAAGAAAGTAGAATCTTGGCCAGTGAATGCAATTTTCTTGTAAAATGTTCTATTTTATAGCCATAAACAGATCCAGCGAGTTTGCTTCAAAACCTGGTGCCTGTCCCATGAAGATAGGGGAAGCAGTAAAGAGTTCATGTGTGTCTGACATGGATTGTCCAGGATATAAAAAGTGCTGTAAGACATCTACGGGAACCCATTGTTCAGATCCTGTTCCAGAAGGTATAGTAGTACAATACTGTCATGCTACTTATTCTTTTCTTCTTCGGATATAGGGGAATTGAGGCAGAAGATCTGATTTGTGGGTCTTTACTTCTTGGGCAACCTTGATCTGATATTTCAGGTGCGTTTCAAAATTCTGTCAGGGTTTTCAAACAAAAGAGATCAATTATGATTCAGAATATATGAATCTCATAGATAATTCTGATCGGTTGATTAAATGCATACATTGTCACACCTTGTGAGTCTCAGCAGTTAATCAAGACCACTGAAAATGAGAAGACCACTATGTTAGTTCAGCACCTATGCATTAATGTAAAGTTCTGACTATCACCTGATTGTTTTCTCTTTCCAATTCTAGAACGAACAGTGACAAAATACTGGTATAATGTGTCAGCCCTTGTGAAAACGGATTTCAGTGAATTATACAAAGTAGCTCCAAGACTTCTGAATCATTCACGTTTTTTGCACTCTGTGGTATGAATCAATGGAATAATAATATATAAACTGTACTGTATATTTCTGTTGATGTAAGAAAGCTCAGCCTACATTGGACTGCCACCTACTGGAAAAGAAGTTATAGAGTATATAGTTCCTCTTACATTTCAGATAAACCCCTTTTTTGGTGTGTTTACAGACGAATAGATTGCTTGAACATGAAAATAAATCATTATTCTTAAAATGAATAATGTTGAATATTTATTAAATATTGTTAAAATTGTTTAAAATATATTTCAATGTAATTAAAGTAATAAATTATAAATTTCTGACTAAAATAATGCCTCTTTAATAGAGTTATCCTGTCTTAAGTTAATATTGAAACATAGTTTTTATAGTGTTAGAAAGGATCTAATTTGGATTGCATTGTTTTTCATTTTATGTATAGAATTAAAAGAAAAACTATTTACTTGCCTACAGTGGTATTTTATAAGATTTAAGAAGAGTTTCTTTTTTCCAGATTACTGGAGCATTGTGGCCCATGAATATCTCTGTGTATCATATCCAGACAACCAAGTCAGAAACTTATGCAAACACATTAGCGTCTCGTTTCCTGCTTGGTCTGCAGCAACTGGTTCCATTGGACAATATTTCTTCTTTGCTGAAGAAAATTGTGATCAGAGTATCTGAAGTTATTGACATTGTTGTAAAAGGTTATTATTTCAGACATATTTGACTGAAGAGCAGCTCTATAAAATGGAGAGATTTTTTAAAATTTCTGGTTTACTTTGTGTTTGGATCTTTAGGATTAGAAAACAGGGCCTCTAGTGTGACAAGGCATTTTCTAGGATGTGAGGAGGGGGGGGGGGTTAAGAAAAGAGTCAATCTTTTATATACATTATGTGACTCTCAAGTACAGTTTGTCACGTGATAAACTAAAAGCTGAAGATCACAATACAAATTTATCTTTTGCGACAGCATTTAGTCACATAGTAAAATTAACATTCGCATCAAGGACTGCTTTCACTTCAGTGCAAGGACAGAGTTAAATCAGCACCTACACTGTTTCTTAAGGCCTTATTTTGCTTGTTCTTTAATCTGGAGGGAAATGTAGAAAAAAACCTAAAAGTTTGTATAACAAATAATCTAAAACTTATTTCAGCAAATGCAATTATTAATCTGTAGACATGCAATCTAATATTTATCTAGGGCAAATATATCCTGTCTGTAGGGGGACAAGGAGAAAACTTGTAGTTTGATTAGATACCATGGATCAAAAAGGTTACCATTGAGGGTATGGCCAGTCACAACCCCCACAATTTCTGAAAGGTAAACTAGTGAAGCTGCTTCCTACCATCCTCTTTATCTCGTATTCCCAAGATGCTCTCTCATTTTACTTTTATCTTTTGTTTTTCTGAATAACTGGACATATTTCTAATTAAAGCATTTGGCTACAATTGCTGTTCTGTGTCTTGTAAATTACATGAGATCAGAGGCCACAACATGGGGTTTTTTTAGCATTCTAATTTCCCATTTATTTTTCTTAATCAAAATAATAAAAAATAAATTTGAGGGGGTGGCAGGAAACCTGCAGATGTAAGTGGTGTGTGTGGTGACCAGATTTTAACATTGGTAAAGCGGGATACCATTGACGGGGGGGGGGGAGGCTCGGAGCACCTGAGCTGGCACCGCGTTACCCCTGCCTCCTCCTCCTCCGCTGTGCTTTGAGAAGCCATGGCGCCTTTTTTTCCGGCTCCCGCCCCCTCTGCTGGCTTCCTTCTAGCTCCCGTGGCCTCCTGGCTCATGTAGTCCCCACCACACTTTTCTTTGCAAAAAGCGCCCCCTCCCTTTGCAAAAGTGTTTGGGGGTGGGAAGGAGAGAAAGGCAAAGGTGGACCCATTGCCTTGCTCCTTTTTGTCTAGGGCAGGGCTCCCCAAACTTGGGCACTTTGAGACTTGTGGACTTCAACTCCCAGCATTCTCCAGCTGGAGAATGATGGGATTTGAAGTCCACAAGTCTTAAAGTGCCCAAGTTTGAAGACCTCTGCATGTCTAGGGCGAGGGGGAGGGGGGCCCTCTTCCCTGCCCCCCATTATTCCTTTAGATCCTTCCTCACCCAGAAGATGAAGGTGTAGATGAGGAGGACGCTCTTCAGGCAGGTGATGACT